GGGGGGGGGGGTGACATCACACTGGCAGATGCTAACCTTCATTCCTCGGTGGAGGTGCTGCCCAGGTGTGTCCACAGTCACGTGTCTATTTCCTCTCCATTCTCATCTCTGCACAAGCGAGTCACTAAGTCCAGTCCACACTCCAAAAGAGATCAAGCTCTACCTCTAGGAGGGGGACATTTCAATGTATATCGCTTGGAATTCTTCTGTGAGAACATTCATCGCCCCCCCATTTTTTTCCATCACTATGGACTCACGGGCCTTTTCTTAATTCTTTGAGTGATGAGCTGATAATGCCGTAATTTATTTCTTTACTTGAACGGCCCCAGCCTAGGTCTCTGGTCGCTCCCTCCCAGGCTGGCTCCCGAGTCCCGCTGACATGCCCTATCCTTTGTTTTTTTCCTCCAGCACCCCGGGCTCATTTTATACCCTTCCTGCCAGCCCTGGAAGCGGCCATTTCTCCAAGGAGCCTGGGGTCCTTTTAATGAAGAATGGCACTTAGAACCCAAAATCTGGGTGAGATTTTAAATTTTTTTAAATGGTTAAAAAACACGCTTATATAAAAAATGCAAATAGTTTAAAAGGTCTGAAGAGAAAAGTCATTCTCTTCCTGATCCCCGAGCCCCCCGTCATCTCCCAGGGCAGCTACTATGAATGATTTCTGTCGTCTCCTTCCAGAAGCAGATGCTGCGTGTGCCTCACAGGTTAGGGTGGGGACAGAGATGAGACGCGAAACTATACGAAGGGCCTGGCGAGCTCCTCATTTATTCCCTCCTTCCGCCTCTCCATTCCTCCCCGGCCCAGCAGTTCTGCAGGGGGACTGGGCACAGGGGTGGGGGGGACAATGGTGAGAAGAGCTACTCACTAATGGCCCCGGTGTACGTCGGCTGCGTAAGGTCCTTGGGCACCTTCCTGTAGATGTCAAACCTGCGGAAAGCAAAAGCGACAAGGGTGAGGTGGGCACGAAGGGCTGGTCTCAGGCAGCAGGGGACATGATGTGATTGGCATGAACCAGCCACATGAACCAGAACCAGCTCCACCAAGGGGCCTGCGGGACACCCGTTCTGATGGGATCCCCACCCCCACACTGCCCTGACCCTTGTCACACCTCCTCACAACACTCGTTAGCACCTGAGAGGACCTTGGCCCACATCTGGTTATGCTTCCTGGCTGCTCTTTCCCCATCAGAATGTCACCTTCACGAGGGCAGGGACCTGGTGAGGTTTTGTTCCCCCGATGGCCTGGCGCATCGTGGGCAGGCGCTCAGGGGGCATTTGTGGAATGAACTGAAGCCCCGAGTGCTGGGCTTCTCTGACCTTGAGGGGAACAGGGTGCTATGGCATCATCTATCCACCTCGCCCCGAGGTTTCCACCCCCCTCCTCTTCTTAGAGACTCTTAACCCCAACATAAAACCCTGCCCAGGACCCCAGTCTCCATATCAGCTTGTGCGGCTCCGGCTCCGTCTAATGTGGGTTTTGGCCCCAGGCGCAGAGCAGACACCTTTCTTTCACAGGGATCTCATTAGAGTGGACGGCGGCTGTGGGGGGTGGGGGAGGATCTGGGGTCTGGGACTCAGACAGACTCCACGGTTTAAGTCTGGCCAGCTGTTTAAGACATAAGGCCCTAAGTCACACTGCCCCAGGTTCAAATCTTGGCTGGTCTTCTTCCTCACTGTGTGACTTTTAGGCAAATCACTTCGCCTCTCTGAGCCTTGGTTTCCTTGTCTGGGAAAATGGGGCGACTACGACCAGACTGGCCAGGCTACTGAGGAGCGGGGGACGTGAGGCCCGGCAGCTTGGACGTTCACAGGGCGGCCCCACACGCCCTCGGTCCCCTCCCGCACTTGCCCCGGGCGGGCGGCGCGCACAGGGTTCTCCCAGCGCAGCTCCGAGTCCACGCACGATGTTCCCGGCTCGCTGGGTACCGCCCGCCTGGTGGGGCCGCGGCTCTGGCCCGCGGGGTGACGGGCGACGCGGGCCCCCGTGATTGGGAAACGGCGCCCTGCTAACTCAATGCGAGGATTTCGAGGGCTTGCGTAAGACCTGATACCGCTTCCTGTGTGCTCACTCCAGGAACACGGGCACCTGGTTTCCTGAGGCCTCAGGGCAGAAACGGTGCCCTGCCGCCCAGCTAACAGGTACCGCTTGCTCACCCGCTGCTCAGCCGGGGCCTGGGCCCCTAAGGGCGCCAGAAACGGCTGGGAGTGTGGGTATGGGGGTGAAACCCACCCACACCTACTCACCTCCCTCATTCTGAAAACGTTGACCCCTCTCATGTAAGAGACCAAATGTGACTCCAACACTGTGTGACCTGGGCATGTCACTTACTTAACCTCCCTGTGCCTCAGTCCTGCTGTCTGTAAAACGGGGCAACGATCATAACTGTCTCACAGACAGGGGTTAGGACCAGATGGATTTGAGCACATAAAGCACTGAGAACCTGCCTGGTGCCCAGGAAGCACTATTTGAGTACTGCTGTTACTATTATTGATGCTCATTTGAGAGACATTTATAAGCACCTACTATGTGCTAGGCCCTCTCTTAGGCACTAGGACATGGAGAGAAAAATCAGTCCCACATGCCTGTAGTTTAGCAGCAGAAACTAATGAAATGGAAGAAGGCAGTGGTGCTCCATCGTGGGGTCAGCTGGGGCACCAGAGAGCACAGAAAGGGACCTGGGGAGATCTGGAAGCTTCCTATAGGGGGTGATCTGAGCAGAACAGGATGGGAGGAAGATGAGTATAGGCAAAGAGTAGCTCAGATAGTGAGAACAGCAAAAGCAGAGGCCAAGAGAAGGGTCGATCTGGTGTGCTGGAGGCTTAGTTCACTTGCTTGTGCTACTAGGCTGGGAACAGCGGGAGCGGCCCCTGAGAGGTGGGAGGGGATCACAATCCAGCTATCTGGCCCAGTTAATACTGGTCACCACCCAGGGCGCACAGGCAGAAACTGGGCCTCACAGTTTAAAAAACCAATGAGCCATCATTTCAAAACTGGGAGTTTTATGGGAAGTCAGAGTCTAGTCACGGTGACAAGGTTGGGGGTGGCCCAGGGCAGAGTGTCAGAACTAGGTAGGGGTGAGTGGGGAGAGATGGGAGATGGTTACATAC